TATTTTTTCGAAATTAACGTTGTACAGATAGTGACGTACCGGCGCTGAAAAATATAAATTCCAAATTCCAAATACTTGTAAAAATTGTTGGATTTCATGAGATAGTGCACGTAGGTTAGATATGTGGTCATATCGTGGTCATATCGTATGCTTCTGTGGTTCAATAAAGTGAAAGCTAAGTCGTCTAGCTGACTGAGTCAGATCTCCAACACTAGCGGCTTAGTGTTACAAGAGGGTGATGTCGTAAAAGACCTCGTTGTGCTGACGACGAAATCATTAAAACGTTCACCCAGCGCATGAAAATTGCAACGGGCAAGACTGAATGTGCGCAAGTTTTCCTTTTTTCGGATAGGTCACACCATAGAAGGCCATGCCTGTAAGTGTTGTGATGTTATCATGAATGCAGAGCTTTAAACAGAACGTTGACTGAATTATTTTCCGAAATGGACCGAAACGATGAGATAACGCACTTCACAATTGAAACGCCGCCCAACATACAATATTTTGGCGCTGTTTGAACTGTTTTAGCTCGCATAGTTTCTTGGTAAACCGCAGGCAATTATAAGTTGCAAATAGGGTACGCAAACGCTCACACCCGTTTCCTCAATAAACTGAATTGATTAAACTGTGAATTAACTAACGTTATTTGGACAGCTTATCCATAGCGTCTTCAACACACGTCGGAAAATATTTTCTAGAGAAAAACTAACCAATAGGATCGGGGGTGGATTATCTAATTGTATGCTACGGGCTCAAAAGCGTATTGAGCGACACTTTTACTTGTTTGTTTAAGTCAGCACACTTTCGAAATCTACGCGGCTTAATTCCGGATCGGGATGTCGGCGACCGACCAAGTGCGAAGCCTGCTGGACGAGTTGATGGGAACATCTAGGGACGGTAAGAATTTAGTTTGTTTTGCCTAAGTTGTTGTCCAATGATTTGGCGTTACCTGCCCACGTAGAGCCCAGTTGGCGCGTTACCTGATTTGATCTCTCTTACTTTTAAGGTGATGCCATGAATGTTGTATTTCGGTTGACTGCCAAGTCATGTAAGTATGACGCCAGCTAGGGTTTCTTTATAAGCTGCTACCCTTCTTCCCTAATTTCGCATTGTTTCATAACCTTTGCTATGTCAATTCAGGAGGTCGGCGTCGGATCGAATTCGATGATCCCAGGGTGTGCAAAAGTTTTCTACTGGATTGTTGCCCACATGAGATTCTCGCCGGAACTGTAAATGAATAATTAACATATATTCTTGTAGAGAATGGATTTGGGAGAATGCCCTTATACTCACGAGGTTGGCTTAAAGTCTGACTACCGGCGGGAAGCTGAAAAACGACCTTACTACTACGAAGTTGATGTAATTCCTCTATTTTTTCTTTACCCGTCTACTAGGCTTTGAGGCATTTAGAAAAATTTGTCGCTGACTGTAATCGTCGAACTGACATTGCCAAGTCAAAACTACGAGAAACACAAGAAGAACTCACAGACGAGGCAGCTGAACAGATCGAGGCAATAAATAAGCTAAGCGAGGAGATTGGTACGACTCTGGCTAAAGCCGAACAAAAGGGCGCTGACGGTCATGTTGAAGAATCTCTTAAGCTCATGGCCAAAGTTGAGGAACTGAATGCACTCAAAGCGAAGGGCGAAGCTGATCTGCGCAACGCGATTCCGGTTAGTACGTATCAACAACAAAAACTTCGTGTGTGTGATGTGTGCTCTGCCTATTTGGGAGTTCATGATAACGACCGACGCTTAGCTGATCATTTTGGTGGAAAACTTCATTTGGGATTTATTACAATTCGTGAAAAACTGGAAGCTCTCCGGGAGTATGTTGCAGCCAACGATCTCATCCGCAAGCAGAAAGAGGCGGTGTATTCACGTGATTCAAGGTCCGAGCGTGGTTCGGACAGATCCGAAAAGACGAGGGATAGTAGCAGAGACAGAGACCGCGAAAGAGACCGAAGTCGTGAGCGGCGACGCCGCCATCGGTCTAGAAGTCGTTCAAGTAGC